CCATTTAATGCTTTTTTTTTTTTTTTTAAAGATTTTTGGCAGAGGGCACATGTGCTTGCTGGAGAGGATCTAGCTGCCTTACACCACAACACGGGCTGCTCCCCAATGAATTTTTTATAAAAGATAACAACAGGCAATTAAAGTGGGTATGGTGGGCAATTTTCCTCCAAGGAATGTCAATGAACATGGTATGGCCTAGAACGAAGAAAGGAGTAATATTTAAACACCTAAGTCCTATAACCAAAAAGGAAACTACAAAAGAACACAGAAAAGATATATTCCTAAAAATTAACTAGGGCCAGCTCTATGGCCTGGTGGTTAAGGCATCTGGAGCTCACATGACTGACGAAGCCCTTGAAATCCTGGCCCTGCTGCCTGAAAAAACAGGCCAGGGAAATGTGGGGAAATGGGAGCCCAAAACTGCAACAGGATGGAGAAAAGGAGGACTGTGGCAAGACCATGCCCCACTGTGGGGGAGGGGGGCTGCTCGCACTGTGAGAACATTTGCAAACACACATGCTCTACAGAAAGGTGTCCATAGCTCCAAGACAGCCCGGGAAAGTTTCCCAGTTTCCGCTAAACAAAAATAACTAACGAACAATAAAGCTTTTGAAACTTTACTTTGGGGGAGGGTGGATAGAATTCTGAATTTTATGGAATCAAGACACAATAAAAACCCTACAGGACCGCACATCCAAAATACACTGCGGCCACTTCTGAAAAGGTGTGTGTGGGGGGGGAGGACACACACGACGGACAAAAGAACTTAGAAAAAGCAGACAAAGTTGTTAAAGGGAATCTGGGAGTTTAGTTGATGAAGGACACCAGAGAGCAAAATGAATGAATGAGGATTTGGTTAAGACTCAACATCTACCTTAACCCTAACCCACTTTGCGCTTGCCCTCCAGTCCAGAAAACTTTTATTCACAAATTTTCAACAGAGAAACACAACCCGATGAGAAACAGGACCAAGCAGAAGTGCCGGCCGGTTGAGCGCCAAATCAGCCCAGCGCGGGTGAGAAAGGGGTAGTCGACCCAACCTTATGCTGTAGTGAGGAGAGTACTGTATAGTCAGCACGCGGGTTCGAGACCCGCACACGCTGATTTCTCAGCTGTCTGTGCTTCACTAGCCGGCCTCTCTCCTTACGGTGCACGGGACAGGCGGCTCTGCGGGGGCCTGAGAAGCAGGACCGAGGGCTTCCCCTCACTGAGGCTCAACTGCTCGGATTCGGAGCTGTCACGGGGTCCCGGGGTAGAAAGGGTGTCACTGCCTCCACGGTTTGGGAAGAACCTGGAGGTCCGGGGAACGGTCCCTGGTGCGGTCTCGCAGGGCACCTGTACCTGCTTTCCCGGCCAGCCCAGGGCGCCAAGGACACGCGGAAACGGCCCGCGCCCTAGAGCAGCGTCCGCGGCGGCGCCCAGCAGCCTCATGGCAAGCGCAGATCAGGCGTAAAAGCTCCGCAGCTCCGGGTCGGCTCAGCCGCTGGCAATGCACCGGCAAGCCCTCAAAGTCACGCCTGCAGCCAGAACCCAGGAGCACTTCCGGGTCGAAGGACCGGAAGAAGGAGAGAGGGTTAGAGAAAGGAGCGTCGGGACATAAGCGCGGAGCAGCATCTCCGCTGTGTGCGCGCCCTCTACCGACGAGGAAGAAAAAGTGCACTAGCTGTGAAGAGCTAATCACGTGCTGCTGCTTTAAATTGTTGTTGCGTGTGTGTGTGTGTGTGTGTGTGTGTGTGTGTGTGTGTGTGTGTGTGTGTATGCGCGCACGCGCGTCAGGGATCCTTCCCTGATCTTCTCTTTTAAAAATATTATCGCTATGTAAAGATGTACCCTTTAAGTAGGGCTGTTTTACCTATATGATAAGGTGGACAAATGTTTTTAACGTAATTTAAGTGGGAAATAAAAAGAATGCCAAATCGCTAACTGTTAGTATTACAAATATGAAGAAAAGTTACCTATAGGACAAAACCTGAAAGGAAACGTGAAAAATTAATGGGAAATGGAGTACGAACTAACTACAAGTGCTTTTTCTCATTCTAAAATGCTCTTTGTTACTGTTTGATCTCAGACATACGCAACCGGTCCACATGGAAGACTGTCTCGGTGATAATTCCACTTGGACGTCTTAGAGGTATCTCGAACTTAGCATGACCACAACGAGTTCCGGATCTTCTCCAAGCCTTCTACTCCCACAGTCTTCTCCATGTATCAATGGAAACTCCATTATTTGGTTTACTTTAGCCAAAACTGTTCGATCACTTTGACACCACTCTCCCACACTCTAGTCGCAGATACCTGTCAGCATATCCTGTAGGCACTACCTTTGAAAAATGCATCCAGAACCTTCTACCACTTCTCCCTACCTCCCTACAGGGCCCTTTCTTCCTCTTTTTCTTTCTTTCTTTCTTTCTTCCTTTCTTTCTTTCTTTCTCTTTCTTCTTCTTTTTTTTTTTTTTTTTTGGAGAGGTTTTTGCTATAGGGTGTGTGCGCTTGCCAGCCAGAGAGAGACAGAGAGATAGAAAGCGAGAAATCACTCCCCAGGGGAGATGACCACACCGCAATCCCCTCTCCTCCATTCTCTTGGGATCTTGAGCACGCACGCACACACGCCCAGCGTCCAGTTTAAGCCGGGACTCCAACCATGGTGGACTACATGGGAGTCAAGCGACATAGCCATTACCCTAACTGCTGGTCCCCAGGACTGTTTCTTGATGGAATTGTTAGGGTAGTCAGATAGTTAGATGTCAACTGGGAGGGGCAGATCTAGAGGCCCCTGGCACGTCCATGGAAAACTCCCTAAACTGCCCTTTTGGCAGCTTTGGGGTGGGAACATCCTGCTACTCAAGACGGCATCACAGAGGAGCTTACGATGTGGTGCAAGTTCGGTATTGAAGCCCGGGAGCTTACGTGACTTGAAGGGACCTTAAGTAGCTTAGCGCTCATCCAGTACTGAATTGGGTTGCCCTCAAGTAATCTTTAGCTCATTGACATGTCATGTGCATTGGTTCATGGGAAATTGCTGTATAATAAGGCCCAGCCGAACACCTAAGGCAGTGTAAACCGGGGGCTGAGTTGTAGAAGTACACCAGGCAGACCCTAGCGGCTGGAATCCACCCTTGGAGCCAGCCTGATCCTTCTGCGGGAGAATGTGCTTTCACTTTCATTTTCCCAGCTTCGCATTTTCATTTTACTCTGCTATAAAGCTTTGGTCTGCTATATGTATATCTCTGAAGTTTTTCTCCTAAGAAGACAAGGATCAAGGTAGTTGTCTCCACGCTAACAGAATCATTATAATAGCTTAACTCAGTGGTCACCAGTCTTCCCCACCCAAGAGATGAGTCAGTCCCTTAACTGGCCTCTCCTGGAAGACAATCCCTCCATTGTGGGGAGGCAGGCACCACATGCACTGTCCAGCCCATTTCCACCCCTTTCATATTGCAATCCACAATGAAACAATCAACAATAGGGTTTGTGCTCCCATGAGAATCCATTACCTCTGCCGACCCAAAAAGGAGGCTAGTGATGGGGAGCAGCTGCAAATGCAGGTGAAGCCTCCTTGAAGCTTCCTTTGCTTGCCACCCTCCACCACCCAACCTCTAGTCCCCAACAGACTGGCAACCGTCCGCATCCTAGGGGTGTGGTGGACTACTGTCTTAATTGATCTGCCTTCTGCCCTTGCTACTGTCCAGTCTAGTATTCTCCACCCAGTAACTAGCAGGGCCCCTTCAAGTCGTCCATGTCATTTATCTGCTGAAAACTCTATCCAATGAATTCATTATTGCTATTATCTATACTTTGGCACAAGTTCAAAGTTTTTGGGTTTTTTTTTTTTTTTGAGAGATTTTTGTTATAGGGCATGTGCACTTGCTGGAGAGAGAGAGAGACAGAGACACAGAAAGCGAAAAATCACCCTCCAGGAGTGATGGACACACTGCAATTCCTTCTCCTCCATTCTCCTCTCAGGATTTTGGGCACACATGCATACGTGCCCAGGGTGAGTTTTAAGTCACTCAGGTCCAGGACTTGAACCACGGTTGACTACATGGGAGCTATTTGAACCTCAGTTGACTACGTGGGAGTTGACTATTTGAACCATGGCTGACTACCACACTGCAATCCCTTCTCCCTCTCTCAAGATTTTGAGCACTCACCCACAAATGCCTAGCATGGTTCTCAAGCTGCCGGCTCTGGGACTTGAATCATGCAGGAGACATGTGGGATACAGCTGCCTTAACCACCAGGTTGTGGACTAGCCTCAAATTTACTTTTTGCATATCATCCATGTAATAATTTGCAATAAAGGGTTTATATGCCACTTTTATGAATATGCTATAATTGAATATATCCTTCAATTTTTTTCACTTATAGACTTTAAAAGTTAGTCTTTCTATGACTTTGTATGTATTTGTTTTAAAAATACATAAATTAAGTACAAAATTATGTAAATTATAACATAATTAAGATTTTTACTTTAATTTCAAGATTTAATCTTATTTGTATATTAAATTAAGGAGTAAGTATATCTATTATACTGAAATTACAATATTAACAAACTAATAATTGTAAAAATTTATGTTCTTTATTTTGTGTGTGTGTGTGTGTATATATATATATATAGATGTTTTTCTGTAATTACTATACTGAGTATATATATTTTTTTAATTTACTAGAAGGTGCATGAGCTTTGCAGAGACAGAGGCCAAGTGGGAGAGTGCAAAATCGCTCCCCAATGGGGCGTGATCATGCCACAGCCCCTTCTCCTCCATCTCTCCATCCCACTGGGAATTGGGGCGAGCATGCATGTGCACCTGTGTGTTTTTCAAACTGTGCAGTCTAAGCCTCAAACCACTCAATTGGCCATGTGGTTCCCCTAACCACTAAGCCACAGTGCCAATCGTATACTGAGTATATTCTTAATTATTATCCCACATTGGAATAATTAGTGGGATGGACTGCATGATCTAGACATTTGAGAAAAAAACTGAAAAATATTGGGTTGTCAGAAGAGTCATGACATATTTGTTCTACACTTTTTCTCATTTAAAAAATTACTTATACATTCAATCACTATACATCATTTAGATTGTAGAGAGACTTTACCCAGCATGACATACACCTCAGTCCAGTTGAGAATACTATACGTGTCATCAACAGGTAATAAATCATAGCTGTGCCCCACAAATATCTTACCTCTCTATTTCCCCTCAAAATTTACTTTACTTTTTAAAGAATTATTTTATTTAACTTTACTTATTTATTTTAATTTGACCAGAGTGTGACAGAGCAAGAGAGAAAGAGAGTGAGAAAGAAAACTGCCAGGCCTGGGACTAGGATCATGGTCGGCCATGTGTGAGTCCAGTGCCTTTAACCACCATGCCACCTGCCAGCCCCCCCCGCCCCCAATTTCCTTTCCTACACTCGTCCCCTCTCACTCTCTCCTTTCACTTTGTCCCTAGTGTCCATGACAATTTTCAATGCCTTTATTTCCCCCAGTCTCTCAGTCTCTACCACAGAATTTAGAAAGTCAGTATTTGTTAAGTGGAGACATACAATGTGTTTCTGTATTTTTCAAAGGTCATTTATATAAAAAACAAAGATCAATTGATATATTGCCCATTTTGTTTGATGACCTTTTGCCATCTTTCAGTGAGTTTCCTAATTCCTGTTCATAGAAGGACCTGTCTTTATCAGTGAAAAACTGAACACAGCGCTGATTTACAGCCTCAACTGAATTGAACGTTACACCACCCAGTGAGTTACGAAGAGTGAAATAAGAGGAAGTCTGATGGTGCGAAGTCAGGCAAGGGTGGTGGGTGTGACAGTATATTCCATCCAAGCTCCAAACATTTTTGACGGGTGATTAAACTTGTGTGTGGTCTTGTTCTCGTGATGGAACACAATTCCTTGACAATCAACGAGCTATGAACATTTCTGGATGATGGAGTCATTCTCACTGTCTCTCTCTTCAGCAAGTGCATGTACTCTATGGCAAAAAAAAAAAAAAAAAAAAAAGCAAGGGGTGTGGGTGGATCATGGCATTAGGATCCTGTTGGGGGTACTGTCTTTCTCTCTTTCGTGAAATGTAAAAATTAATTTAAAAAATATAGCTAGCTAATATTTGAAGGTAAATGGTTTCATAGTCAGTAGACTTTGATGTAAACAATGAAACAAATATTGCTTTCAAATAATATTTATTGTTCTCAAGAAAGGGTTACCCAAACTATAAAGTGAAATAAGAATATGTTTAACAATATTAGTATTGCTATTAAAATTCTATGCATCCACACAAACTAACTAGAAAGGAATACACAAATCTTTCATTGCATTGGGGGTGGGATAAGGGACACTTTTTATTTTAATATTCTGTATCTTGTACTTTCCTACGATGGAGACAATGGTAAAGTCGATCATTTAAAAAAATAAGAACAAACTTAGAAAGTTCCAGCTTTTGGAAATACACTGAATCTAATGAAGCAAAATGTGAGACTTCAGTACTAAGAAAAGTCTGTTTCTTCCTTACAAGTGAACTCTATCTTTGCA